TGCTTCAGAGTGACCTTGAGCAAGTCATAATTATGTTTCAGCCTGTTGGTGATGGGCCCTAACAGGGAAGTTCCCAGACTTTCTCAGTTCACAGAGAAATTAGTGTCTCCACCATTTTTCCTCCAAGCGCCTAGGCCAGAAGAAATGCCTATCAGTTCTATTTATGAAGTGGTGACGTCCGAACAACTTAGTATTTATATCCTAACAATTAAGAGCTACTTGAAAAAAAAAAACTAATACGTGAATAAGAAGAAAAAAGAATATTTGTATCCCGTTCTTAAATAGCCACAATGAATTACAAAGAGGGTGCATGCACCTGTTGGGCACTGCACAACTTCTCAAACCTTAGAATCAGGTTGGACACTGCCACTCTCATTTTCTGTTCCACATTGATTTTTCCCTGGCTTTTGCTTTAATCACAGCAGCAACCAAAAACTCAGCTTTGTAGGATATGGAATCATGAGAAAGAAGATAGTACAATCTGTCATGAACCCCTGGTAGGAACACTTTGACCTGGTTGTTGCAGGGTCCGACAGAGGTTGAGTATCACTCTATTTCCCTTGAAAGCTTAAACACTTGCTGACTTGTCCCAGGGTACCTTGGTGCACAGTTTGGGAACAATGTCTCTAGCATCTGTTTTGAAATTTTGTCACGGTCTGTCTTGCAACTTCATTGGAAAATATTTGAGGACAAGGGCCGTGTATATTCCACAACTAATGTAGTTTCTTGTTCAATAATAAATGCTTCATAAATACTATCTTTCATTGAATTGATGATGTCATAGATTGGAAGGTGCATACTGATTTCTAGAGATAGTAAAATGTAAAAAAAAAAAAGCATCATAAAATCAATGAAATACAGTAGTTATTTGAATAGGCTGGCATGAGTTTATTGCCCGTGTCTGAGTCAACGCTGCAATTTAATATTTACCCTTTGTGATATCTGTAAAATCTAGCTCATCCCTGTCCTTATGGGCTTAAAACCCCATCATAGGAATAAGCCCTAAAACAACGGAGTCTGAATGTGCCCTCTGCCCAGCACACACAAAACCAGTCTTGTTCTTCCAACTGTGCTTTTGGAGGGAAAGGGAAACGAGCAGGCAGCAAGCCATGTTCCGGCCTTCTTCCCCGAGTCCCCACTGTTAGCATGCTGAAAACTCTCCCCTTTGCTTTGCAAGTAATCACGGGACTTTGTATCTTGGTTTTTCGTGGTCTCTCCGAGATGAAAGGACAGATATATTGCAGATCTAGGTTATCTCTGGTCTGGTTCCCAATTCCTCTTAAGGACTCCAGGATACCCCAGGACTGGCCTGGAGGGTGGGGCGGGTAGAGCTTGGCCACGTGCAGCCTCCAGGGGGCGCTCATGTGGTGCCTGTAACCACTGTGAGAGCTTCATCCAGCCATATTCTTGTCTTCAAACTTGTAAACAAACATAATGTACTGTAGTCCTTAGCTTTGCCTAATTAGAGAAGAAATTGTTATAGAGCAGAAGGTAAATAAATGTAAACATTTAAGTATTAGTCTGATGGAAACACATTTCTCATTGCCATAGTTCTTTTCTCTTTAGACGAGTGGCCCTCCACAGAGATTCGGAGATTCACAGGAAGTAGATAAAAACCCGTTCAGGTTTTTAACTGCTGACTTCCCAAGACTGGATAGAGTCTGGGGAAAGGGTGTCCTGGGAACGAAGAAGTTAAGGGTTACAACGTCTCACCGCTCCAGGCAAAATCCAGCACGGGCTGGGGACAGGGGTGGTCTGTAAAAGCAGGGTCTTCTCTGGAGCAACGGTGGGTGCCAAGCACTTCCTTCCACCTGTGGGGTCCAGTAGGTGTGACATGTCAGCTCCGTCAGCATCCTCTGAATCCTTAGGAATTCCCGGATGTGGTCTGATTCTTACAATGTCCGGATCCTCCCAGCGTCCGGGCCCAGGAGTTGGGTGCCCAGCTTCTTAAGCTCAGCACAGTGTCTACAAAGATGGGTTCCCCAGGCACGGTCTCCCACTGATACCTCAGACGGAGCCGCATCCCCAGCTCTAAGGCCCTAACCTGAAGGAAAGTCTGGAAGCCAAAAAAGAAAGTCTGGTTACAAAACGCTATGCCGGGGGGTGATCCCTACATTTTACACTGTGCAGCTAGTATGCTCCTCTATTTGATCTGACCCTGGTTTTCCCTACTTGGTTGTTTTATCTTCATGAGTGCTTTAAGCATCAGTCCCCTACAGTCACCTGTTTTTAGGGAAATTTGTGACTCCTCTTGGCTGACATTGGGGGAGTCGCTAGGTGGTTTTATCCTGCATACTTAGTCACTCGCTGGTTATTTTCGTTTGAGAAAAATATGGCAGGGTGGGGAGGGATGAGCAGGTCCTGCCCCTGGGGTATTTGTGCCCTGTGCGTCGTTCTCTCTCTCAGTATGAGAGATCATGACCATCTAGCGTGCACAGTATCCACAGGACGAGTCCACTCTGTGATGGACTTTTCAGGTGGTTTCCTTGGCAACCAGAGCTACTAATCTTCCCCCTCCCCCAACTTACCCGTAACTGCAAAAAGCACATAATTGGCCATTACTAATACATCTTTATGAACCTGTACAGGCTCTCAACTCTTCGGCATTCATTTCCTAAAGGGACTAAAGCTTCTTTACCAGAACCATTTGAAAGTGCATTTCATGAACATTAGGGTGTTTAAGACTGGAATGACCTTCAGGATCAATGAGTCACCTCCCCATCTTACAGATGAAGCCCACACCAGAGCTTGCCCAGCTAGTTATGTAGAAGCGGGACCTGGCCCGGGGCTTCTTGCTCCCGATCCTGGGGGCTTTCCACTGTACCAGGAGCCACCTCCGTTATGGACACCACCACCGGCTAACAAAGCTGTCGTGTAGCGCTCTCTGGGGACAGGACCAATTCACATTGCTTAATGAGTCCCCTGTGCCCTGGGTCAGCGATGACCAACAGCAGGTACTGCAGGTGTTGACGGATGCCTGACCTCAGCTTCCTTAACGTAAATAGATGGTTAGGACCTTAATATTGTAGTCGCTTCCTTCCTCCAAGGGAGGACGTCTGAGTGGCTTCACTGAGAGGTAGCAGCCTAGGACAGAGGACGCACAGAAAATGTGGAAGTTTTAAAAAGGGTGATATTGTTTGATCCCTGTGCCTTTCCATGAAAGAGATAATATTCTAAGGCTATTTGCTCCTCTTTGCTTGAACTTAACTTTGATGAATACCTGTATCTTTTGATGGCAAAACGACTCATAAAAGAGGAGTATAGTAAGTGCATATGAGCATGTAAAAAATCATGTATGTGAAGTACGTAATAAAATGCCTCAAACGCACATTATTCACCTTTGGGATAAGGAGACGTCGAGGGTGGGGCTGGCTGCCAAATCCGTAGTGTTTACGTAAAACTCTTCTGTCGTAACAGCGTAATCAACTACTTTAGGAACCTGAACTTTCTGTTCATTCTTCCACCCAGATTAAATAAATCCCAGCTTCGTGTCTTTCCTATCAGCTGTGCCTCTGTGTCGTACTTTCTTCCATCATATTTTTCCCCACTTTCTTGGACCTTTTCATGGCCACCTTGGCTGTTGGCAAACTGGCCTAGCTAGCGTGTGAGACAGGCAGCCTCCGCAACAGGACCGGTCTCAGTTTCTTTTTGACCTTCTTATTTTGCATTCCCAAACGAAATGGCCAGTGAAAATGACATTGCCCTTGGAGCAGAGAACTTTGATTCAGTAACGCATTTCCTAGAAATTTTGTTTCCTTTTTTTCCCCCTTTGGTCATGCCTGTTTGTCCTGTCTCATTTGCTTTTACTTATTCTGGAATATATCCCATCATTTGGTCACAGTACTTCCTCAACCAATGGGTGAAGCTCTATTATGACTCTCTGAATGAGCTTTTCGGAAGTATATAATTATCTTATCTTCATACAGAAGATAGCTTCCTGAAATAACAATGAGCTATAGGCGTGTCTCTCGGTGCATTGTACTTGGAAGTCTCCTCTTCAGGCTGATTCCGAAGTTTCTCCCCCAAATCAGCCTGGACTCCTCATTCTAAGGAGCAGAAGCTTGGGCTGCTTTGTAGCTTTTAATTTGCTAGGTTTGGTTACTCTGCATTAGCATGTTTAATAAACTGCATCTTCTGACGTATTTCTGTTTTTAAGAAGGCTATACGATTGGAGAATTTAGAAAAGCACTTCCATCCGAGAAACGCACAGCCCCTCTGGGTCATCAGTCAGCGCTAACCATGATAGGCGTTGCCCTATTAACTATTAACTAAGTCCTCTGAAGTCAGGAATTCTATTCATTCTCTTGCTGCTGCTATAATAAATTAGCCCCAATTTAGGGGTTAAAGCAATACGAATTTATTACCTGACAGTTCCGGAGGTCAGGAGGTGAAAATCAAGTTCTCTGGGCTAAAGTGAAGGAGTTGGCAGGGCTGGTTCCTTCTGGAGGCTCTGAGGGGAGAATCCATTGCTTCTCCCGTTACACCTCTTCCTACTTGCTCATCTCCGGCCCCCTCCTAAAAGAACCTTTGCAGTTACACTGGGCCCGCCCAGATACTCCAGGATAATCTCCCCATCTCAGGATCCTTGACTTCATCATATCTTCAAAGTCTCTTTTGCCATATGCAGGGGTTCCGGGCATCTTTGGGGCCATTGTCCTGCAGACAACAGCACCATGACCCCTTTCTCTAGGGACTTTCTTTGGCCTCTCCGCTTGAGGTTGGGCTGACTCAACAGGGTGGGGAGATGTTTGCAGGGTGGCTGCCGATGCCCTGCGAAGCCCCCATGCCCAGCTCCCAGCCCTCAGTGGCCTGCGGTGACAGCCAGGTCTCAGCTGCCTCCCCAGGACCACCAAATGTGTCACATTGTGTCCTGGCGCCCCATCACCATTCCCCACATGCTTGCCGACCCACCTTCCTCACCCTGCCTTCTTTCCTTCTCAGCATCGTGTTGGTGCCGGGAGGCCTCCGTGTCAGCGAGCTGAGAGGGAAACTGAGGCAACATGTCGGGCCGGAGCGGGAAGAAGAAAATGTCCAAGCTGTCCCGTTCGGCCAGGGCCGGTGTCATCTTCCCCGTGGGGAGGCTGATGCGTTACCTGAAGAAAGGGACCTTCAAGTACCGGATCAGCGTGGGTGCTCCCGTCTACATGGCGGCAGTCATCGAGTACCTGGCAGGTAACGTGTCACCCCTCCCGGCTCCCCGCCCCTGCCGCCCCAGGACAGGGAGGATCGCTTCCCTCGGCAGCTGGCTCGAGGCTCCTGGGGGTGCTAATGGGGTTTCCGCTTGCCTGCTTGGCTAAGATTCGTTTTACAGCCTTTAGGGGAGGGCGTAATGACAGGTAATCAACATGGAAAGAAGAGAACACGCCATCAAATGGCTTTTCTAGACCAGCCGTGGAAAAGGTGTGTCTTGCTTTAGGCAAACACAGCCTGTAAAAGTCTAGGTTCCTGCAGAAGAGAAACTCCAGGGAAGATTGGGGGTGGAGGATGCGGGGTGCTACTCATTTTGTAACAGGGGGTCTTTACTTTGCTTCGAGGTCCTCACGGAGCATTGGGTGTCCTGGTGTATAGGAACTAGGGCTTGTTGTCCGTAAATAGTGTTGACCCCACATCAGAACCAGCTCCAGCCGGGTCCATGAAGCCCATAATGTTCTAGTTGCACTCTCCTTTGTGTACAATGGTCCATGAGAAATAATTTCCCATATTGGTTAACATTGTTTTTTTACTGAGATGAGATTTTTGCTGTGTGTGGTCTTTATATATTCGAGTAACTTCCTGTTTAGCTTTCTTTCTTTCTTTTTCTTTCTTTTATTTGATAGAAAAAGAGAGTGAACACAAGCAGGGGAAGAGGGGCAGTGGCAGGCAGAGGGAGAGGGAGAAGCAGGCTCCCCGCTGAGCAGGGAGCTTGATGCGGGGCTCGATCCCAGGACCCTGGGATCGTGACCTGAGCTGAAGGCAGACGCTTAACTAACTGAGCCACCCAGGTGCCCCTAGCTTTCTTTCTTTTTTTTTTTTTTTAAGATTTATTTCTCTAAATGAGAGAGAGAGTGCACAAGTGGGGGGAGGGGCAGAGGGAGAGAGAGAAGCCTCAAGCAGACGCCCCGCTGAGTGCAGAGCCTGACACGGGGCTCAATCTCAGAACCCTGAGATCGTCACCTGAGCCAAAACCAAGAGTTGGACACTTAACCGACTGAGCCACCCAGACACTGCCCCCTGCACCGTTTAGCTTTCTTATTGTTGTTCTGTCACAGTTAAACAGAAACCATACTTCAAAATCTCAAGGATGCTTTTAAAAGATATAAAAATATATAACATATTTATAAATAAAATATATAAAATATATAAAAATAAAAATATGAATAAGTAAGTGTGATTAGTTCCTTGAGGGGTCATTTTAGCCATGAGCAACAATGTCTTTGACTCTGCCCAAGGTTAACAAATCCCCCAGGTGCCAGGTTTAAATCCCTTGGGCAGTCCTCCGGGCAAAGCAAACCTCCCCAAACTGTTTCTCCCAGAAGCCGAGCCCCCTGTAGCCACAGCATGAGCACCCATGGGTGTGGCAAGGCTGGACCCAGTTTCTGGTCCCAGGTCCCTCTTCCCCTTCTGCTTCTCCCTCAAGAGCAATCTCTTCTTCCTCTTCGATGCTCGATCCTGTTCTGCCTTCTTGGTCCCCCATCTGTCACCAAGCAACATTAGCAATGAAAAGTTTGCTTTGATCCACCCATGGAAGCCTTCTCTCCCTGGAGCTTCCTCAGGCAGACCTTGGCATCTTAAGCCTGTCCCTTATTGTGAAATGAAAGGCTTGTCCCTGGGCTAAAAGTTGTTCACTGGCACCCTTTAGGAGGTTGGAGAGAAGGGGGGGAGGGCTGGGTAAGTTGGTCCAATCAAGTGTGAGAGAGCAATGTTTTCAAAGCGCCAGCCGTCCTGGGGATCTTGTTGACAAGGTCTGGGGTGGGGCCTGAGACCCGGCCTTTCTAATGCGCTCCCAGCAGATGCTGATGCTGGTCCAGGGACTGCTCAGAGGAGTGAGACTCTAGCCAGGCTTGTAGTAGCAGCAGCCTAAATGCTCGAGGATGCTTGTTTAAAAGGCAGGATCCTGGTTGCACTCCCCCACCTCCACCCCACATACACATCCTGTGGTCTGATTCACTGGGTCTGGAATGAGACCTGGGAATCTGGTGGAAAAATCTGCCGGCTCAGAGAGGGAAAGGTGAATGAAGCTTTAAAACTACCTGTTAGGTCCACATCACCCAGTGAGACTGGGAGACACCGAGTAACCAGAGATCCTATAGCCTCCAAGCAGGAAGTGGGGGTTCCCTGAGGTCATTCGACCCTAAGCCACGGACTTCTACTACACTACATTGCCCCATTATAATGCTGGTATACGCAAACAATAGTTAAGTATATCCCTTGCCCCCACTCGGTGAAGGTCTAAACTTGGTGCATAACAGAACCAACTTTGGCCTTTTGAATCACTGGCATCTCTTAGTCTATGGTTCTGATAAAAGCTGATGTTTTCCTTTCATTCATTTAACAAATATTTGTTAGGCATCAACATGTCAGTGTACGCAGCAAGTCCTTAGACTCTTCCCCGGTATTAGAATCAGATCACTGATATGATTTTTAATTTATCTCGGATTAGAGCCACCGGACCCCATAGCAATGCATACTAAAGCCGGAACGTCACACTGTGGACTTGGAGCCAGCACATCTTTAAAGATTTATAGTATCTCCCAAAGTAGAACCAGTTTTTCAAATTGATTACTCATCACCCTCCATTCACTCAACAATCTTTTATTGAACACTTCCTATATGCCCGGTGTTCTCGATGCTGAGGCTACAGCACAGACCCAGACAGGCGGGAATCCTTGCCCTCGAGCAGGTGCATTCTGGGGAGGAGAAGCAGCAAACAAATAAGTGAAGTGTGTGTGATTCTCAGATGGTGACAAGTGCTAGGGGACAAACAAAGCCAGGAAGGAGAGAGAGTGTTCCGGGAATAAGGGGGCGAGCGGGGGCTGTGAATCGCACTAGCGAGTCGGAGGCCCCGCTGGGCGCCGGGCGCCGGGCAGGGAGTGGGCATGCGCGTGTCTGCGGGCCGGCGCTCCAGGCAGGGGGAAGGCAGGTGCAGGGATTTGGAGGAGCACCAGTGGGCCGGACGCGGGGGCCGAGGGAGGGCTTGGCCTGTAGAGGAGGCCCGAGGAGAATGGGCGGGTGGGGGAGAAGAGCTTGCCGTGGGAGTTCTGGAGGGTTTCTAGCGGAGGTGGAAGTGACGTGACCCTGTGGGGAGAGGGTACCAGGGCAGAAGCAGGGTAAGTAGCAAGAAGGCTCTTGCAGAGATCCGGTGAGTGGGCAGCGAAGGTACCGAGAGGCGGTCAGAGTACCGATCTATTGTGAAGGCAAAGCCAGCGGGGTTTGCCAGTGTGTTGGACGTGAACTAGGTGAGAGGATGAGCAGCTGGAAGGAGGCCGTTGCCAATAACACTGTGTCCCAGGGGCCAGTCCCAGCAGCCAGCAGGGTCCTGGGCCAAGAGTTGGAGGTGAGGTTGGTCCTCTGAAGCCCAGGCCTATTTTCTGCGTCCCTTGCTTCCCTTCCTGTCAGTTTAAACCTGGTGTATCTGCTTACCAGCTCTGTTACCTTGGGCTAATTCCTGAACCTCTCTGAGTTTCAGGTGTTTCCAGACCTAACTCATTTAACTCCATTCATGAACTAACGTATATAAAATGCCCGGTGCATAGGATACACTCAGCAAATGGTCATTCTTCTGCTGTCCCTTCTGTTAAGAGCTGATGAAATCATTCAGGGCAAAGATAATGACCAACTCCTTTAACGTGTTATATTTTGGGTCTGTACTTCATTTTACTGAAACAAAAAGTTTTAAGCCAAACGAATGAATCATTATTAGTAGAATTGCAGGCCATTGTTGGGTAAGTAAAAGGGGGGGTTGTTACTTTTGGGATGGGGTGGTGGCCATCAATTGACTTTGTTTAGGAAAGGAGGTTCAAAGCATGAGAGCGTCCTGTCACCCTTGAAATGACCATCAACATTCATGACACAAATCTTAACTGAGCTTCTCCTTCAGATCAGGCCTTGAAGACGCAGGAGAAAGCAGAGAGACTGGGTCCTGCCTCGGAAGGCGGGGCTTGCTGACCAGCAGGGCTGAGGAGCATTAAGCACAGCACAATAAGTTGGCATGCATGCTGGGCAGGGAAGTGACGAGAGCTTTGGAAAGCGTGTGTGAGGTGGGGTGCAGGGGGCTACCCCTTGTAAAGTAAGAGTTGTTAGGACCGAAACCAGGTTTGCAACCCTGGTTTTTCTTAAATTGATTGGTTTCAAATCCTGAGGACTAGGCTCATCTCCAGAGATTCTGGGGGTATGTTTTATGCATCAGGATTTTTTTAAAACTCCCCCAAATTATTCTGGTGGCAGGCAGAGTGGAGAATTAGTAGGCATTAAGTAGATTCTGATGGGGGATTGAGCTAGGGGGAGATTTTCAGGTGGGGTAAAAACGAGGGTGAAGACCCAAAGTTTAGAGGAAGTATGTGGCCCCTTCCAGAACCTGGAGGAGTTTCTTACCTGGAGCAGAGCTGGGAAATGGGAGGGGGTAACAGACGAGATGGGTAATGGGCAGGCAGGTCCTTGAGGGCCGTGATGAAAATGTATATGTTATGCACACACATGTACACATGGGTATAGAAAGGAGGAGGTAGCATCTGGGAGACATCACTTGGGCTTTAGGTGAACGGTTGGTGGGAAGCAAGATCAGAATCCAGGAAACCATTGAGGGCTGTTTTTGTGTCACTTATGAGAATTGATAGTGGCCAGGACAGGGGTATGCAGAGGGGATGATGAGAAGAAATGGACAAATTGGAGAGATACGTGGGGGGCTAGAGTCAGCTCTGCTCAGTGATGGATTAGATGGGGGGGGGAAGGGCATCAAGGAAGGCATGAATCTTTGAGGCTTGGGCTGGCTCCTTTCTTCAAGCCAAGCTGCTATGGGTTGAGGAGTGGAGGTGGGGACTCCACTCTAAGAGGACTGGCCAAAGGGACGAGAAGAGGAAAGTAGCTGGTCCATGAGAATGGTACCTGTCGCTGAAGCAAGAAACAATGGGGGAGAAACAGGGTGCAGGGCGAGGGGCTCAGTGGGGGGCCCATAGGTTTCGGGTCTCTGCAAGGTG